CTCCTGCCCGGGCTGGCTTTGAACCGCGATCCTCAGATCTCAGCCTCCTGAGTAGCTAGGATTACAGGCGTGAGCCACCAGTGCCTGGCGATACACTGGATTTCTTTGTTTTTCATTTAGTTTCTTTTTAGAAACAAGATCTTACTATGTTACTTACCTATGCCTCAACCTCCTGGGCTCATGTGATCCTCCTGCCTCAGCTCCCCCAAGTCAGCATTTAACTGCCTTTCTAGAGACTTGTGTCACTGAGTTGCTTTAATGCCTTCAGAGAAGATAGTGAATGATGGTGTTTTGTTGTGTAACATCTGGCCACCTCATCCATTGCATATTTTCACATTGATAACCTCAGTTGTGAACACAGCTGAAGTAAGATGAGGAGCTTTATTGTATGCTTCTTATTAGAATTGTCTGCAGTATACGGACAGTGTCTTGAGTATTAGGGACAGTTACTTTGTTAAAAATGTTTTATACCTTGCCCATCTTCTGAACTTTTAAAAACAGGTTGAGCCAGAGAAGAGGCCAAAGAAAGTCTCACAGATTCGAATACGGAAAACCATCCCTAAGCCAGATCCTAATCTCACCCCAATGGGCCTGCCTCGACCCAAAAGGTGAGGTCTTTCTTGAGTACAAATTGGGTTCACTATTTACTATTTTGAAGAATTATGAGGCAAAATATAGTTGCCCTTTAAATGGTCATTTACTTTGTGCTGTTTACTTCTAGGAATTTATATTAAATTAATTGGTCATGTGGCTAAATGTTTATGTGCAAAATTTATATATGTATTTTTTATTAGCTTACATTAGTTATACTGCAGGAGATTTCATTACATTTCCATGTGTTTTAGTATATTCTAGTTATGGAATATATATTTGTAACATTTCTACTGGAGGCGCGGCTCAAGTGATAGAGTACTAGCCTAGAAGAGATATTTTAATTTTTGTTGTTGTGGGGTTTTGTTCTGTTCTGTTTCTTTGGCTGGTACTGGGGTTTGAACTTGGGATTTTACACTTGTTAGACATGTGCTCTCTCACTGAGCCAGGCCTCCAGCTCCATCCTTAATCTTTTCTTTTTTTTTGAGCTTACTGTGCCAGGTATTGTGCGCACATAATCTCAGTTCATCTCAGTTCTGGAAGGTAAGTACTGTTGGCCTATTAGGTTTGGGTGACGATATCGAGACCCAGTAGTTTAGAAACCTGCATTAGGTCCTAAGTGTCAGTGATAGCACATGTGGCTCCTGTCTGTCTGTCAAAGTTATCCTGGCCCAGAGCCCAAGCTCCCAATGCTGAGAACACTGGGTAAGGACTTAATATGTTGTGAGTTTAATTTTTTTTTTTTG